TAATAATTCTCCCTTTCTTGTTATGTCTGGGGTGATCTCGAACTCAACATTTACTGTTTTATTTTACATACTTTAATAGCATATGGCATTTCACAAACGAATATGTTGATCTAGGCCTGTCCTACAAACCATATCTAAACAGTTTCTTAAAATCTTGATCAGATATCTAAATGGTACTAATCTATGCATGCCAACCTTTCAAATTCTGCTGGGAGGTCATAAGACAAAATCTAAAAAATGTATTTCACTAGCTTGTATTTGCCGAACTCGTAATGGCAAATGGCAAAGATACATCTATGCAATACAAGTTGGTTGACTATGAGAAAAAAAATGATGGTGTAAGGAATCCTGTTGTAACAAAACGTAACTGTATTTTTTTACCTGAGACCAATCATCTTCGTGCCTTCAAGTTTGCTATGACATATTCCAGGGGTGTAGAGAGCGAAAGTGAACGTAACCCCTGGATATCAAGGATGAAACAAGAAAGCCTTTGAAGTGTCGTCTAAAGTCAAACAAATATGCCTTTCCCGTCCTTCTTATTATTATTTTTTCTTTTTCTTTATCTTTTTCAACAGTATGTTGATAAATGGAGAGCTAGGTTAGTGACCCTTTGAACAATTTTATTAAACAAATAGTGTTTTCCCATACTTCTTATAATTGCTCCTAAAACATTAAAAATCTGTTTGCTGCTCTTTCAAGAAATTCTCGTCAGTCCACAGATTGGATCACTCCAGACTTTGTTTCTTATTGACTTCATGTTTCCTCGCTTCTCTTCCAAAACCATGCATACTGCAAAAAATACATTGCTTTTGTTGGTGAATATCTCAGTTCGCTCACCCTTCTCGTCCTATGAAGCTTTAATTGATCTCCCACCTCGTCGCTCTCTGCTGTTTTACATCCATGTTGTTATTGGGCAAGATCGGTTGTCTTTCGCAATAATTCCAAAACTAGTTGCTCGCTCATTGATATGCAAAGGGTATTACGTTCCTACAAAAGGTTCTATATGAAGATGGAGAGAGTGTGAAATTACATTTGTTCCCGGGGATGTATTATGACACGTTGCATTAGGTATTCAAATACAAAAATAGATATTACGTTTTGGTTTATTTGTGTGTTTGGTTTGGTTTAATTTAACGTCCTAACAACAGCTATGGTCATTCAAGGACGGCCTCCCCTGTATGCAAGATGCATGCGCGTAGTGTATGCGTGAGTGTGTTTGGGAGGCTGCGATATGTTCGTGTCTGTCTCCTTGTGATAGCGCGTAACTGAAGCTGACTTTATAGAGCTACCTCACTGAAACATACCACCGATGAAGACACCAAACAGGACCCCACCCGGCCACATTATACTGACCATGGGCAAATCAGTCGTCCCACTCCTAAATTACTGAGTTTTAAGCAAGAGTAGAAACTACCATTTTTACAGACTCTGGTATGTCTTGGCCAGGGGACAGAACCTAAAGCCTTCCTCACAGGGGCGAACGCTCAACTAAAGGTCAAACGTGAAGCATTGTCAAGGGAGAAAAAGTCCACCAGTGAACCTTGCGCATTTAATCATTACTTCGACCGCTACTTAGAGAAAGTCTTGTGAGATTTATTTACTGATAATCAACGGTCCTATTTGGGCTTAAAACTTTGTAAATCAAATGATATTTCCGTATGATGATCATGGTAGGTAATATATATATATATATATATATATATGGGATATGTTAAAAGCTCTCACGAGGATAGGAAATAACTCATATTTGGCCCAGTTACATTGTGGGTGACATTTGAGGAGCACATGCTCAACCGCCCACGCGGATGTGTTTTAGTATAGATTTGCTAAGGCTTTACATTGCGGGTTTCGCGAATGAAGCAGAGTTTAACCTATTTTAAATTCTCCTTATTTGAATTACGTTTTTGTGGATCATTAGTTTTTATAGTGGCGTATGTTTTTATACTTTTACACTGCAGGTTTCGTGAATGTAGCTACGTTAAGGTTTTTCATGCATATCATTTCTTTGTACATATTGAAACCTTCTTTCAACAATCCCTATTCGAATTACGTTTTTGTAGATCAAAAGCTTTTTATAACGGCCTTTGTTCATAGGTCATTTATAAATTCTGCTTTGAATTCCATATTTCTATCTTTTGGTTCTGTTTTTTTTCTATTTTTTTTCTATTTCTTCCTTTTTATCGCTGTCTCACTTGACAACTGTCGTCGTAAGATATATGTGTTACAAAATCTTAAATTCGACAAAACAAAGTTACTGTATCAGCAGAAAGAAACAGACGAATCTTGTTCCATATCTTAATTACACAATAAAATAAATTTCAAGTTCATGTTTATTCCCTTAAGAATAAATACCGTATTCTGGCGGAATATGTTATTGCAGCCATGACTTTGTTCGTGTTAAGGGAGCATCGTGCATTTGTATCGTATTGACAAGGAGTCGAAAATAGACATTGTCACGAACAGAAACATTTTACATTTATTTTATTTCCTTTAGTGTGAATTAAAATGAACAAACATAAATATACAGCAATTCTACATCCCAATTAGTTTTTATTTATTATTATTTATTTCCCCAACACGTCAAATGCATTTATGAAATAACAATTTGTTGTATTTTTCAAATGATATACGCACAAACCTCCTTCATAATTTTATATTCATTTCACCTCTTGCAGGTGTAAAACCAAATTTTAACTAAAGCAATTAAATTTACTGATAAAAACTGAAATCAGTTTTACATAAAATACAATAAAAAAACAACCGAAACATTCACATTTGTTAAAGTTTAGTCAGCTTCCCAAAACAAATATCGTATTTTTTCATCTGGTATATATTTTAATAAGATATCAAACTGAATTTCATTTACTTAATAATAAAAGGATATACATAATACCCTAAATTATTGTTTTCTATAACATAAACATGTAACAAATTCGGTTTTAAATGAGTATGAATACCTGAATTAAAGCTGAAGAAGCCTTCAGTCCAAGGTGTGTTGAAGTTTCCCCTGAGGTTGTACCCAAGGCATTGCGTGTCACTCTCCATATAACTGGCGTAAACTCGACATGTGTAATATGGTTTTTATTTCTAAAGGGATTTAAATATGACAAGTAATTTACTTCAAATTTACTTCTTTTCTCTTTCATATCATACGCCCCTGAAAAACCGCACATAGAACTTCATAAAAGTATTGTTAGCCTCGAATATTGACTTGAAATTTAAAGCACATGTGTTAGAGATTGGTATGTATCGACAAATTGGCGTTACGTTGGCTATGGTTTTATCAGGAAATCAATTTTAAAACTCCTGCAAGCCATTCGTTGAAGTTCGATGACTGTTTCTGAGAATAACTGTCTGCCGTCTCTACCTTCCCCGAGGTTGAACTAATTATATTTTCCTCGCCTCATAGGGAAGACAAGAAAACGCTCAACCGTAAAATAATTTTATAAGAGTATAAATTTCTCCAGATTATCAAGAATCTTACAATAAGGGTTGAATTTTACTTTTACTTTCGTTCCTTTAAAGTGAGAATATGTTTGTCCACCAGTTGTTAATCAGTATGCTTATGATCAACTATTGAACTCGGTCCACACATAACGGTACCAGTAGACAGGTTATATTTAGAATTGTCCGACAGATAGCGTTTTCACTGTATTTAACATAATGCAAACGTAAGAATGGCATTTAAAGTGAATCATTAATGTAGTGAGTAAACATTTGCGTTTAGAATATGAAAGTTGTTCCTAGTTCCGCTTCCGGTTCAGCGCGTACAGCTTACCTTTACCATAAAATAAAAACAGAGCAATGCCGATGAAGCTGTTTTCCATTTTTGCTACTATTTTGATTAAGTATAAGATATGGTGTTCATAAAATTTGTGACAGACGTGTCTTTGGACAATATCTGTACGCCAAAATAAGGTCATATAAACCCATTAATAACACCATTTACTTATAGACTTATACAACTAAAAATAATATCAGGGAAGTATTTTTTTGCTTATATCACAATTCCAATATTCTGAATAAAATAGCAGATGTAAGCAGGTTACGAGGTTCCTGATTGGTTATAAAGGACAACAAGAAATAATTTTGAACAGCCAAAGTAATGTTTGTATGGTTTTAATTATAATGACGTCATCAGCACCTCGCTTTACTTTGGGAAGTAATATTTTGTTAAGGAAGTGCATGACAAATAAAATATTGAAATATTCAGATCCTGTTTAGGTTCGTAGTTTTAGTTAAGAATTTCATACAAGAACTATGTTGCACGAACTCGTCGCTAAGCTGACCGTACTATATTGATCCAGATGCTACTATCGTGTAACACGTCATTACAGGCATCTGCCATTTATAACTGACAGATTTAGTATATATATCGTAATCCGATCATTTTTCTATATTTACGACGTAAGTAAAGTCTCCAGTGCTGTACATAGACAATTCGAGTAATGGACATCCTCTGTCATCTCATACTCCATTACATCATTTTAATTCTCGTGGCTTTTCACAACGAGGCTGGAATGTCACTTGATTAACAAATCGTTCAATTCACACAGACGCTTGACAGTTTGCGGATTGTTATGTACATGTAATAGGTCTAGTCGAAATCATAGTATCTTTTATTACTTTAAATAAGTTCAAAATTCAAAACAATGTTCATGACTGTTTCGTTCTCAATTTAGGTGTATACTTTGAAATATAGCATAAACATGTTGAATGATCAACCCCGATGTTTTAGAATTATTTTGAAACAATGATATGAAATAGATCTGTTTGGCAATTAAATCGTACTTAGCAATGTTTATCTTCTTTTCGTTTACTTTTTCAAAATACAACTACAAAGTGTATCGTAATTGGCTATTGCTTTGTAAGATAAATTTACATATTGATTGAAAAAAGTTACCATTTGTTGGAAATGATTCCAATTTGGTTTATTTTGTAAAAAAAAAAAATCAATTTATTGAAATTAAGTACATTCGGCACTCCTCTGTATTTTACAGGTGATTACGCCGTGATCCTAAACACTCGTCACCAGACCATCAGAGCACAGCTGCGGAAGGCGCTGAATGACGCAATCACTTATGTCACCACCAGATGGCGCTTCTGTATAGAGGTCAATGGTAATTTTATCACACTACACCTGTATATATTGTTTGTTTTTGTACTGTTCACAATTTACATAAATTTATATCCAGAGTGAACTCTTTTCCATTATTGAATTTACTTCGTATACATTATACTATATACATTTATAACAATAAGAATATATAAATACACATATTCATTAGAACATGGAATATGCATATAAGACATTACTATTAGAACATATCATAATCTACATTATACACATAACAATAAGATTATATATTTATATACATAATACACATAACAATAAGATTATATATTTATATACATAATACACATAACAATAAGATTATATAT